TATCCCCACACTTTGAGCCTTGGTAATACTGTACGATTCTGTACTGGTGAAAACACTTGGCGGAGCGTTACATGCCTGAAACACTGAAACAGCCCGGATTGTGCGCGGAAATTGCTCTTTATGGAGTGGCTGTGCGGCGAAATTGCCTAATCGGGACCAGTTTGGGTCGGAAACAGAGGCCCCGTTACGCGTTATGTTTCACCAGTACAGAATCGTACAGTATGCGAGAAGTCTAAACGCTCGGACAAAAAAAAAATACCCCGAGAAATGTCGCACATCTCCCAGCCTCGCTCCGAACGAGGTTCCGCATTACACTTTGTTGAATCCCATAATCGATTGCGAACGCGGCCAACAACTTCAACGCTCTGGGACTATCGCCAACCCCTCCCAGCTCAGCTAGACTCGTCACCCGCAAATGTGCAGATAGAAGAAAAAAGTCTCAACGCAGCGTGTTATGTCCCAAGCCCCGTTCCGAACGAGGTTTCCACACTATCCAGATTTTGGTCTCTCGTGAATGAACCGTGTGTGTGGGCGTCTCAGGACGCTCCCGGGACTATTTACCACTGTTCACCGTGCCATATAAGCGCGAAGTCTAAACTCTCGATCCAGATGTCAACGGTAAGAAAAAAAGACACCTATGCGAATCCTAAATCTCCCAGCCTCGCTCCGAACGAGGTTCCGCATGGAACCTTATGCTTGATCCTTATCAATGGCGAACGCGCCTAACAACGGCGCACTGGGACTATCTCCTCCCACCTCGTAGCTCAGCCAGACTCGTCAACCAAAACAAACTTTCATCTCCAAAACAAAACAAACAAAGATCTACTACACTGGTGGTACCCGGACCCGCTTCGCACTCGCACTCGCCGCCCTAGGCCACGTCAACTGCAACTTGCCCATCAACCGGTTCAAACTGTCCCCACCACGCACCGACGCCTTTCGTCCAACAACCTTCTCGGCAATGCGTAACCGCCCCTCCTCATCGACGCTCGAGCTGTCGTCACTGGTCGGCGCCGGCAGCACAACGGGAACAGGCAGCGCCAGCGCCCCACCGCCCATCGGATTATTCGCAAACGACGACGCATCGGATGCACGCCTTGCCTTGCGGATCGAGCTGCTTATAGAGACTCTGCGTACGGCGTTGATGAAGCGGTCGCGGATGAGAGGAACCGCGGGGACTGGTTCTTGCGGGTTCGGAGAAGCACCGACGGCGAGCAAAGGCGTTGGAATTAGGGCGGGAACTTCAATCTCGACGACCTCGATGACCTCGGACTCTGCGCTCTGGCCGAGAAACTCGCCATCGCTGCTAGCGTCGCTATCGTCACCATCGTCCTCCGGGTCTTCCGCGGGGACGCAGTTGCTGATAGCGCCCGCAGCCAGCAGGTCGTCCGCGCCCATGGACAGCTCCATGGCGAGCACCTCTGTGCGGATGGTTTCGAGCGAAGGACGCAGCGTCGGGTCGGGGGTAAGCGCCTTGACCAGTATTCTTGTAAGCGGTATCGAGATGGCGAGTATACAGCGCAGAAAGTTTTGCTCGAGGGATCGGATGCCGAGTTTGGGCTGGGTGTAGATGTATTCGCGATGAGTAGGATGGAGCAGACTGCGTGGATGGACTGCAAAGGACGTTTGGAGGAAGGTCGTCCAGCGGTGGTCGTAGTCGTCTTTCGAGGTGCTCCAGGGATTCATTCCGCAGACGAGGTTGAGGAGGAGCATGCAGAGCGCCCACTTGTCGCTATCGGCGGGGGCATACGAGGTTCGATTGTTGCCGGAGAACGACTCTGCATGGAGATATGAGCACGGAGAGACACGGCGAGGAAGAACAAAGACCACGCACCAGGTGGCATATACGCCGGACTCCCGCAATCCATCTCCGTCGACACCGCCTCCGCCGTCGAGAGCCCGAAATCCGCCAGCAGGACCTCGCCTTGAGCCAAATTGAACAAGACGTTTTCTGGCTTGATGTCGCGGTGGTACACGCCTTTGCGGTGACAGAAGAGGACGCCATCAACGAGGGACGAGAAGATGCGCTTGACGAGCTTGGGCTGGCCGGTGAAGACGCCGTCGAGGAGGGCCGCAAAGAGGTCGCCGCCGGTACAGAGGTCGAAGAGCATGAAGACGTGGTCGGGCGAGGTGAAGCAGTGATGCAGCGTAAGGACATTCGGGTGGCGAGACACCCTGTAGTCTCCCATACAACTCCGTGTGCCGAACAAATAAGGACACTTACCTGGCCTGAAGGTGTCTCTCGCGGGATTGGAACTTTGCTTGGCTCTGGCTTCGTCGGGCGGGTCGCTTGATGCATTTGACAGCGTAGATGGTCGGGTTTGAGGGCGTAGTCGTCTCGCGGGCGTGGTAGATCCTGCCGTAGGCGCCAGCGCCGAGAAGTTTGGTGAGCTCGAGTCGGCCGTCGTCGACGAACGTGCCGGTGAGGTCGGGAAGGTGCTCGGCTTGAGTCTTTTGAAGCATGAAGGGTAATGCTCAAGGCGAGGTAGAAGGATAGTTTGTGGTGATGGTGGTGGTAGGAAAGAAGAAGAAGTGAGCGAGTCACAGCCGCGTTACGGTTTATATAGGGCGTACCGTGCCTTTTCATGCCGGCTCCCTGCGTCCGTCTGCGCAGACTCTGAGTGAGTCCGCGCGTAGGTACTCTCCAGTGGGGATGGGAAGGATTGCCACGTATAGTCTCCTGCATCCATTGCGTTGCTCTCTCGCACACCATCGCGCCGTCCACCGTCGTCGTCCATCATGCTAGTCCTGGTCGTCGTTGTCGTCGTCGTCAAGAAAAAGAGGCGTCTGCCTTTCGGGGAAATCCAGATGATGCTATCAGCAAAGTTTCCCACCCGCGTTTCCTCTTCGTTCTCACCACCACGGTCCACGAGCGATGCATCCCGTCTGAATCCTCGAGCGGGATGCAGCAGAAAGCCTATCTTCGCCTTCAAGTTCGGCCAGTGGCCAATTATATCCGGCCGTCTTGACTCTTGACGCGATGGAGCAATGCAACTACTTAGACGCAAGGTGCGTTATCGAGTCAATGAATCATGAGCTGACTTGTGCCAGTGAGCATTGCGTAGACGGGCCTACCCACGCAATCACTAGTTATGCTCCGAACCCTTTTTGCGCGACGAAGAAGATATCACCTTGGTCTTCGAGAATCGCGCCTCTGCTCTACACCGGCCATTTATTGCTTGTGAGTAGTATTGACTCTTTCTCCATTTCAACCTCCATGTATTAACGTGTATTAAGTTCCCGCACGTGTACAACTAGACCCCCAATTTAAGCTACCCACGAGTCCTCGCACCATCACACTTCTGTTTTCCATGGGAACGCAGGACGAGACTATGGATACGCGTTTCTCGATCCTCGTCGCTGCTGTCTCAAGGCCTACATTGCCCAGATTCTTCCAGCCCGCAGCCCGCACCGATTACTTTCGATCTCAATTCCGACCGATCATGACTTCCGTTAGTCTTCACCCCATATAATCCCTGCGCAAACCCGTTCCACAACTGGGATAAACTCGAAGGGTCAACGCCCCCCACGATAATATAGCCGGGCATTCACAAACAACCTCGGAAACAAGAGGCCAAGACGACCGCGGGTGTTCCAGAACTGGCAGGCAGGCCGACATCTCGGCGTTCCCCTATTGTCAAAGTCACGGTATACCGTTTCCAATGGCAATAGCAACCGCGACAGCGCAGCAGGCTCTTATACCCCACCCACTCCAACCCATTTTCGTTCCCTCTTCCCATGCACCGCTCCACATCCAACGCACTCACCCCCTCCGAACGGAGCCGCCTGGTGCGCTCCAACCGCAAGCTGCAGGCGCTCCTCGGGGAGGCCCCTCAAATCATCGAGGCGGCCGTTTCCGAGGCCAGCATTCACACCATGGCCACTGGCAGGCCAAAGCACCAGATTTCGCATTCCCTGTCTTTTTCCTCGTCGTTCGACATCCACGGCACCACACGTCCTAGACCAAACCTCCACCTCCATCTCGACGCCAGTAACCAGCACCTGCATCCCGACCGAGACATGCTTTCCCCACCACTCACTCCGCTCTCCCCCACCGCCAGCATCACGCTCAACTCCCCCTTCCCGTCGCCCTCCGAGAAAGACAAGGTCACCCGGAGGAGACAGCACGCTGCGAAGCTCTCCCGGACGCGAGGAGAGAATATCGCGCCGGATCTGCTCATGCCTGGGCCCCGGCCTCCATCTGTCGCTGCTCCAGTCCCTTTATTGCGCCGGTCTGCGAGCGTTTTGGGGTTGGGTCGCGCGCGAAGCACGGCGGGCATTCGGAACACAAGGCCAGGGACGCTGGGTCGCTCATTCTCTACGCGTAACCGAGTTAGGGACAGGGATATCGACGCCGACGACGATTCCTTCGTGCTCGTGTGCGCCCCTTCTCCCGTCGTCGCGCCGTTCCTATTTCCTACCCCTGCGCCGACGCCATGGCCCACCGCTGCCACTGTCCGCGCAAGTCCCGGCAAGGTCTCCGAGCAGCCAGACTCGGATTCGGACAACATCTCGCCAGTCGCCTCCGAGTCCGAGTCCCCCATTCCCACTTCCCCCACTGCCGTCGGGTACACCCTCCCCACACCTTTGGAGCTACTCACCGGCAAGCGTCGCCGGGAGAAGGAGTGGAGCGGCGAGTGGAGCGTTGCGATGGAGCGGGTCAAGAAGGAGTTGCGGGCGTTGCGCTGAAATATATGAGACCAGATCTGCAGATCGTGACGACGACGCTTAGACAGTATTACTTACACTCTTCTATAATCGTTGCTAGTTGATAGCATATCCCATCCTCACGTTCATGATTTACAAGAATCGCTCCGCCCATGACCTGACTCCTTAAACAATATTACTTACACTTGCCAGTGAAATTACAACAATCCTTGCATTACTATTCATCCAACGAAATCACTCCGTCCATAAGCCCATCCCACGAATTTCCGTGAAAGGCCCCCTCCAAAAGACTGACTCCCCCCATGAACTCACTCCGCGAATTATCGTGTGGCGCCCCCTTGGCTCAGTGGTAAAGCGTGTCACTCGTATCTCTCGCGAAATGACAAGATCAGTTGTTCGAATCAGCTAGGGGGCATGGACTTTTTGTGTCCTTGAAGTTCTGTCCGTCCTTCGCCTTTTCTTCAGGAAACAACACGGCACAGTCCCATTCAGGAACGCCTGGGGGTACGTGCTTCCCTTTCCAGTCATCCCTCTGCTGGCCTAGAGCTCAAATCGAAATCCACCACCCACACGAACAACATCACTGGTGTTTTTCCTCCCTCCTTGCAAGCCTGACTGCAGCTACGCATGCGATGCACTCTCGTGAAATAAGGGTACACGCTCGAGCTCAAAGACAGAGAAATCCCTTGTTCGTCCCAAGGGCAGGCAATATATATAGGTTGATGATATCAACTTTTTTGTGCCGTCTGCGGCGGCGGTGCTCAGAACCCACCAAAAGTGCGAATTTCATTCCCAGCGGCAAGCCTGCATGCACGGCACTCGCAATCCGTAATGACAGATGTCTGTTGGAATACGCACAGATTTGTGTGTTCCTCCTTAGTGCTCAGAGCCCACCTAAAATGTGAACTTTTTTCCCAGTAACAAGCCTGTATGCGCCGCGAGGCGCACTCGCAATCCATATTTTGCCTTGATTGATGGTCGAATACGCAGAGATCCCTTGTTCGTCCCGAGGGCAGGCTGTCAGAGACGAAGGCTAAGTCCAATCCCTTTTTTCTTTTCTTTTTTCTATTTGCTTCAAACATCCCGATCAGAAGCTTCCAAGGTGAATAGATGCGTGAATGCATGCATCTGTGTCTGTGCGTGCTCTCCCACGATTTGCATGCTTGTTATTTAAGCTCAGTTTCCTAGCTCCTCGGCCAGTCTGAACCACACAAATTTGCTTGTTGAACTGTCGCTTTCCTCAAATTGCCGACGAGCACCTGCCTGAAGGCTGCTTTTATTCTCAGTTGGAGTTCATGGTTTCAAGCCTGTATGCACCTGTAGGATGCACTCTGAAGTACTGAAACCCCATCGCCGGCGTCTGTTCAGAGATCCCTTGTTCGTCCCAAGGGCAGGCCTTGCCGTCGTCATGGCAAGGTTGTTTTCTTTCATTCATCAATAGGTTGGAATCTTGTTCCTGCATTCAGCGTTCGTGGATCACACAGGACAAAGGGGAGCTGAATCCCCGAGAGCAGACAGTTGCATTAAACTTGCGGGGGAGGAAGTCGGCGTCAACACGAGGACAACCGCTCCTGGGTGCAGGCCGGTGGAGCGAGGATGCCCCCGAAAAAAGGCTGCCCAGCCGAAGCGAAGACGGCTAACCCAAGAGACAGGCAGCCCAGTATGCACAATTTCAGAATGAAACAGCAGTATACCCTCGAAAGCACAGCTCCAGTCAAACCGGAGTTAGTGATTTTGCATGGGATGTCTGCAGGACCGAAATCAGAGAATTTTGGAGGAAGAGTCAATGTGGGGGTCTCGGTACAATGGGTTCAGAAACAGCGCATGCATATTTAGGCAAGAAAACACATTATTTGGCCTGAAGCCATTGGCACCACGGCACCTGAATGCAAGGGATAAAAGGCACTGTTTCAAAGGTAACAAAGGATAAATTGTACAAGGGTACCCTCCGGCATTCTTGCATCAAGATTGGATAATGCTGTGATTGTGCAGATTGCATGGCTTGATTCAAGACGACGGAGTATAGAGTTGCCGTGGGTTCAACAACTCGTGCATCATCTCAAATGATGACATGGAGAAGAATACGAGCTGATATAAGGAGCTGTGCAATAGAAGCAATGTAGGAGGGAACTCAGAGAAGAAGTTGCTTGGGCCATTGCAGTGAAACATAGAATCAAAAACACCAAAGTGGCTGGTGTAGCCTGAGGGAGCCAAGGCTACCTTCAAGTTAATGTTGAATGAATTGCTTGCAAGAGGCTGGTAGGGGTTCAACATTCAATCATGAAATGGGACATAACGCTGCTGCAGCACGTGGACAGGTGTCAGCGCAGAAATACTCCTTTCATTCAACACAGAATGAGAATTCTGCAGAATATGGAGCAGGATAAATCATAAATGCATGAAAATCAATAGTATAATGATCAACATTGTGCGCAGATCAAGTTGCGAGGAAGTACCATCAACCTGATGTACCGTATTAAATACATATCACACCAAAATTCTGGAGGAGCTTTAAAATCCCCATGAATAAACATTAAATGAATTTTGGCCATTTTGGAGTTGAAAAGCCCGAAAAAACCTTTAAGTAAAGATGCTAGTTATGAATACAAGACATTGGCTCAGCTCCGCTCTGCCCAAGGGCTGGCTTTGTTGCGGTCAAGGGTGCTTGTCAAAGCGAGAGCCTCATTAGATTAGATAGAAGCACATGTCATAAACTGTGTCAGTGTGCTGATTGCATGGCTTGATTCGAGACATACAGATTATAGAAGGAGTACAGGGCAGGAGGTCAAGCCATCTCTGGGTAAAGCTTGAAGACAGGGTGTAAACAAGATTGATGTAAGATCGCTGTATCGTCATGCGAGCAACTGGGGATAAATTTTAAGCTGCCCCAGACCTAGCACCATTGGACAACTGGCAGGTGAACTTAAAAGTCCTGGTTATATGCAGAGAACACAAAAGGCGAAAATATGTAAAAAGAAGTGGGATTCAAATGTTTTTGGCACCATGGATTCCGAAGTTGCAATAAAATGAGTAAAATGACTGCTCGCAAGGTTTTAATGACTGAGTGTATCCACGTCAAAGAAGTGTGGCCCGAAAAAACTAGGGTTGCCCTCAGAGACTTGATGAGTGAGAGTGCAGAGTGATATTCCTCAATGCAGGGCATTATTATACCGCCCAAGGTCCTGGACGGCGCACATCCAAAGATAATCATTCTGTTTCGGATCACGAAAGGATAAGAGAAGCTTTATCAGAAGATAGAATGGTGTGAGTGTAATCAAGGAGCAGCAGAACAGGATTCAAACAATAAATGTAATTTTGAAGAACAATGTGCCGCAAGGGAGAACACATTTTTAAGTTGAATTGGGAGGATGTGGAACTTAATACAGCAGAGCTCTGTGATGCCACACCTGAAGACCTGCTAATGAACAGAACAACGTGTGAAGTACCTGATTTCTCAATGTGTAGCAGGAAATACAGGTCAAGGCAGTTCAGGTTTTCCAACTTTCACAAAGAAAGTAACGATAGGTATTAAGAAAAACAGGACTGCTGAAACCAAAAGAGGGATTTGTGGCGGATTCCGATAGATGCAAAGCCAAGGTCAACACACTGGCAATTGTGAAACAACAAAACTAGGTGGCTTGAATGGCGGAAACATTAACATGTACTGGTAAGCCTGATCGTGATTCAATTTTTTCAATAAAGGGACCACCAGGAGAGGATTCCTGGATGCAGCACATGAAAGGCCACACTGACACTGTCTGGCAGAGTTGACAATTTTGATACAACAGAGAAAAGTACCCAAGGAGTAGCTACAACTTTAACGATTGAAGTGAAATATGAAGTGCAAGCAAGCAACTGTGGCACACGAGCTGGATTGAGAGGTTGGGAATGATATGTAAATGGAATTCTGCAAAAGAACGTGCAGAGAACCTCAAAGTAGCCAACGATAAGGAGGCAGGAAAGGATAACCTTGGACAGAACAACACTGCAGGGGTGCTGCTACAACTATCTCAAATTGGGGCATCCTGGCTTGAACTGAATGTAGTTATCCGGACTTCAGAGAGGTCAAGGATTACTTCATCTATAATCGAGCACTCACGTATCACTTTGGTCTGATGTTTGGCACGAGCCTCCGGCCTGAAGCGGCCTAATAAGGCTAAATTCAACAGCTTTTCGGACCACATCAAGTAATTAGGCTGTGCACTCCTCCCGCTGGGCGCCCAACAAGCGAACAGAAATATCTTCACCGTCATCGCACAGCCCATAGGCTGTTCAGTGGAGCTGGACGACTCGGAGAGCTGGACGCTTCGTTTGATCCCCATCAACGCTCCTTGCTTCCGCCCCTCACTATCGAATCTCTTCTTCCCTGCAATCGTCGCTCAACGTTGCAACATTCTGTAATTCTGTCAAATCTGCAACTTGAAGTCTGCCAAGACTCAAATCCACACATCAAGTCCTCCCGCCAGCGCGCAAGCTTGATTCTCCCACAGCTGCTCTTGGTCCATCAGCGCAGATGACAGCAAACCGAGATTCAAACACAATAGACGACGGAAGAGGATGATTGCCGTATACGGACGATGGGAGGCTCAAACGCTGAGCGGCGGGGAAAGAATATGCAATCGTTTTGGGCGACGCTATCGGGAAGTATGATGAGCCTCCATCTCGGCGTTGCCGACTCGCTTTCTTCCGCCCCCCTCACTCCACTGGCTCGCCTCTGTCCCTCTGTCATCTCTCCACACTCAACTCGACCCTTCTGCGCTTGCACATCAAGACTCGAAGCCCGAGGTCCGTCTGGGAACTTCAAGAATGGCACTACAAGCCTCAACACCAACATTCAAAGCATGCGACGCTGCCTCTGGCGATCTGGAGGCATCCAGACGATTACAAAGGCCGCGGGTTTAGGGGAGACGGACAAGCGAGAGTGCGAGTGCGAGCAGAGGGGCAGAGGAGAATGCTCATGGTATGTCATTCGCATCACCTGCATCATTGCTATAAAACTTCAAGCATAGCTTCAACATTATCGCAAGCTACAGGCACAACGGGACGCACAACGACCGACATGCGCGACAGATGGCGCATGTACACGCCTTGAACACCCACTCATAGCCGGACAAACGCAGACTCGGACGCGATGACGGACATCCAGGGACTGATGAACCACGGAAAAAACGAGACGATGCACCGACCCGGACGGACACAAAGGTCCGGCACTTGGAGCCGAGCAGTGGTCGGCGGTTCGGATGGACATTTTGCGCTCCAGTCTCGAGATACGTCTTCCCTCTCCGAAATTATTTCTCCGCTCAAACAATGGCCTGACAGTCGCGCTACCAGCAGTGCTTCATGCTCCGAACAACGACGCGACAAACAGAGTGCAGTACGTCGTCGCATACTCTCTTCCTCTCATTCTGCTCACCA